TTTGGACCAGCACACACTTTTGTGCAATGATGCTTTCTTTACCACCACAGGATTTAAGGACTTTTACAAAAAACAAACAAACACTTGCCAAGCAACACATGACAGATAACCAAGCAGACCAGCAGGTCTAAAACTCGCACTGCCGGTTTGTGTTTGCTGCGTTCACCTGGCCTTGCGTAACGGACTAACGCAACAGCCATGAGAGCGCAGAAGAGTATTCTTGAGTCATGAGTAAATGAGTCGTATCTGTTTCCCTCAGCGTTAACATCCGATTTAACTAGTGGTGTGCGATACTGCATATTTTGGCATCGATCTGACACCAAGTAAATTCGGCCCAGTATCGCCGATACCAATACTGATATGATACTTTTCAATAAATAAAGTGGATGCCTCATTGAATTGCTAAATCGCAATTAATTTTCATGACCTTAAGTGTTTTTTGTGATGTTTCCTTTAGTATTATTAATTAGTTAAAAACCAGGACATAATTAGGAGAAATAATTTATTTATAATTAAATAAAAAAAAGTTTTATTATTGTGGCGGCTCGTGGTCTGCGATGCTGCTGCAGGTGAGATGGACTCACCTTCACTGCATCTACAATCATGCCTCACCGGCTTAAAACCTGTGCGCTGCTTGTACTGTTGTTGTTTTTGGTGTTGATGTGTACAGCTGGCAGCAGGAGGGCTGCAGCCGTTGAATGTAGGCTACTGTTACAGCAACCGTGTGATCACTGTAAGGGTGGACAGCGTGCGGCTCGGGGTGAGCCGGAGGCTGGTGCGCCAGCGGGACCTGCCAAGCTGGAGATGGAGGTCGAGGTGCGTGAGAAATTTATACATTTCATAACAGAGCGAACAACATTTTTTTTTAGAAATAAATGATAAAGTGGAGATAGACTTATGGGATAGTTATAAGGCTTACATGAGAGGGATGATTATTTCATACACAAGTCATAAAAGAAAACGCCGATTAACAAGGCAGTTAGAGATCGAGAATAATAGGAAAAAGCTGGAGAAAAAATTTTACGTAACAAAATCATCTGAAATATTAAGTGAGCTTAACACTGCCAGGACATCCTTGCATACTTTGATAATGCGAAAGGCTGAAAGAGATGTCCTTCTTGCCAGACAACGGCTTTTTGAATCAGCTAATAAGCCTAACCACTTTCTGGCTCATCTTGCAAGGAATACTCCATCAAGTTCTTTTATCACAGCTATTGTGGATGTGAATGGTGAAAGGCATGTAGGAAACCGTCAAATTAATGAGTGTTTTAGAGAATTCTATACAAATTTATACCAGTCTGAGATGAACATAACAAGGCTTAACTCGGGCTTTTTCCTAAACGACTTAGCATTCCCTCAGCTCTCTGAAGATCAGGTTAGCACATGACAGATGTTCAAAGTTAGTGTGGAATTCTACAACATACTAATTAGAGATTTGAAACGTACCAGTTTGTGATATCATCATCATGCTATAATAATCCTTTATATATGTCTGTATGTTCCAGATGACGCATCAATCTTTCACCTTTTATTGTTTTTTTTTGTTTTTTTTTCACTTGCTAAATACGGAAAGACTTGACTGGGGAAAAGAAAGGGGAGAAAGAAAAACAGCAGGGAAGAGGGACGGGGATAA